TTGTTGTTCCGCCCACTTGAGAGTAAGATCCGTTTTGTCGACATGTTCTGACTCTCGTTCGACCTCTTCACCGTCCGATTCGAAGTCCAACTTGTTCAATTCAGAGTCGGCTCGTATAATAATTTTCTTTTTCTGCAGCTCTGCAGACTCCGCTTCAAACGTGAGGACGACCTTTGCCCGTTCGATATCCTCGATGGACTCTTCAAGGTCCTTTTCGAGACCCTTGCGATGGTCGTTGAGTATCATACTCTCTTCTGGGGATAGGTCGGGATCTGCACATTGATCCATGATGCGCTTAATTTTGCGAAGAAGGGACTGTTGTAGGGACTCCATGAGTGCGAGGTCCTTTCTTCGCGCCAGTTGCGCTTCTTCCACGTCGACGAGTGCAGCGCGTGTCTCCACGTCGATCTTCTGACTGCGGATGGTGTGGGCGCTCTTCCGCGACCCACTCCCTGTCGCGATCGACGCTGGCGAATCCACCGCTGGCGACGTGGTGGCGTTGACCGTCGGGACGTCGTCGCAGTACCGGCGTGGCAGCTGTCCTGCTGTACTCCTCACGGGTCGTGGTTCCGCCATCTAGTGGACCAATAGACCCAACAGAACAAAAAAAAATTAAAATATGTCCTCTGGGGGGTGAAATTGGGCGCTACTTCCCGGATGATGAACCCCTCAGGGGCGGGTTCAAACCCTTAAAATACGGAGTCACCAAATGTGACGAAGATTCCTTGGCTGATGGACCCAATGGCGGCGGTCCTGGAGTGTCGTCTCCAAATCGGACCCTTATTGGCTGGCTGCAGGTCCTCCCCCCTCGTCTCACTCTCTCACTTCCACTTTAGGGCTGGCACTATTCAGGGAGCGAGACCATCATGTCTCGGAAATTGGAGGACTGTATGTTTTTTATGTTTGTGTGACTTATTGTGTAACTCGATGGCGTGGTGTGACCGTAAAACTGTGTAAATAAGCGGCGGCGTTGTCACAATTAGTTACTTTGTTGGTAGTTTTATTTATTCGTCACACAATTTCTCATTTACTTACAATTTTAGAGTGTTAAGAGAGACGAGGGGCAAAATACGTGTTATTGTTCTCGTAGCTGGAGAGACACTAAAATTATTTCAACTTGAACTTCACTTAAAAAGGGCATATTCACTGCCAAAACCGAAGCCAACTTCTGGCAAAGGGAAGGTCTCCTCAACCTCACCAGCCAATGGCTGATGGCCACACAATTATTGGAGGTGGGGTTGAGGAGGTCACGAAAGGTTCAAAAAACTTTAAAGAAAAAGATTAAAAACTGGACAAGTGCCAGGAAAAAAAGACGACAGAATGGCACCATTCAAATTTACCAAACTGGTCTCTGTCTCGAAGGTACATACATACATCCACCAAAGTCATTTTCATATCACAGCAAATACATTCAGATTTTTTTTCATTATCATGTCAAATATCATTTAGAATAATTATGTAAATCTCGACGACAACGGATAAATTATTTGAAAAATAAACAAATTGTAACATTTGTACGTGACTGGGAAAATTCGTTTAACAATTTATTGACATCATTTCAATATTTCGGATGCTTTTACGACAACCCTGATGCGAAATTTTACTCGAATGTATGACAAAGAAATTTGAAATATAATAATAATGAATAAATTATTTGCAAAAAAAATCGTGCCTTTTTTTGTACGTACTCCTCTTTTTTCGGCCGAAAAAAACAGGAGAAAAACAGGACGAGATTATCTTTTTAAATGAATGAGGCTATGCACGCTCGCCTTGGTAGCATTGTAAAATCCGTAAATTCCATTAATTTACATTCTTTCTCAAATTTTGCAAACATTTCGAAGGAAAATTAGTTCCCAAATTTTTGTAAACCTGCTCAGATCAAGGGCGTCTCTTTATTATGTAATAGTTTGTAAAATTATTTTACAAAACGCACGGATTTTACAAAGTCACCAAGAACTGCGTGAATTACCTCAATAATTAAAAAATTGCAAAGTTTTACTACGAGGTTTAGGTGAATAGGCATTGCAAAATAAACATTTAAATTAAAAACTTAATATCGAGGTTCACCTAAAATTCAAAGTTTTATAAAATTTTGTTGAATTTTAAAACCGGATAAGAGTACTGTTTTGATGTTATGAATGAAAAAATTAAATTTCAGATTACTTGATTTTGTTGGATTTTAAAACCGGATAAGAGTATTTTTTAAGTTATGAATGAAAAAAAATAAATTTCAGGTTACTTGATGAATTACCAAAATATTTCATGAGAACAAACAAACTTGTGAAAATCAAAATTTTTGGATTCGTGAGAGGATTTCGCAAAATATGACGTTAGTGATGGTGAGGATGAGTTTACGAAATAAGCTTGTGAAATAAGAATATGCATAAGAGCTGGTGAAAGAAATCCCATGGTTTTCCAGCAAAATTTTTGCGAAATCTCGCAAATTTCGCAAGTTGTGTTGCAATGAACAACTTGAGAGATATTCGAGATATGCGAAGGTTTACGGTCATTACAATTAAAAATTTACGCCTTTTAAAAGTTATCAAAGATTGCGTGAATAGTGAATTGCCTCAATGTTTCTCTCTTGTCGGATCATTTGATAGTTTTTATTTTATTAAATATTAAATATTAAAATACTTTTTCCCAAAGTTGCATTTCTTTTGCAAAAATTTTGAATTTTTAACGTTAGAACTTTGTGAAAAACAGCACGGAATCTGTGATTTTGATTCAATCTCAATAAAATATAAGTACACATTGTCGACTTCAAAGTTTGTCAAATTTTTAGGTTCTGATCTAAGCAACGCGAGTGTTTATCATTTTGTTGATTTAATTATGAGTGGGTTGATATTACGGTAAAATCTTTGAAATAATACGTGTCTACTATTTACAAAAAATATCAAAATATTTACGAAATATGTACGATAAAACTAAAAATTTTCACAAAACTTACACTTTAGAATTTAATATGGGTTTTTCTGTGGTCGAATTTTTGTTACCAATAAAATTTCGTCGCACAGTATTAATAAATTTACGAAATAAATATGCAAAAGATTTACGTATTTTCGAAATAAATATATTTTTGAAAAAATATGCAAAAGATTTACGTATTTTCGAAATAAATATATTTTTGAAAAAATATGCAAAAGATTTACGTATTTTCGAAATAAACATTTTAGACGGAGATTAATTTGATATTCAGGTTGGACATACATAAAATTGTGACCATTTTCAGACGCGACTAGTCACGCTTATTGACCAACTTTCATCTTTAAGATACAAATCAAATGCAAAATGCACCTTTTTCCTAATCTGCTCAAGTCGGACAGAATAATGCTTAGAATTTAATGCCCAATCCAAATCGTATCAAGTTGGTTTTGTGTTTTAAACAAATTTTTTCACAATCCCCCAGTAATATTATAGAAATTACGACTGACTAAGAAATCACAGGGTGTGAAAATCACATAAGTCACACCTAAATCATAAAGTGTGATTATTACAGTTCAACCTGTGGAGATTATTATTAATATGTTGCAGTAAAATTTTAATTATCGCATACTGAAATTTATATCATTTTGACGACTCGGGTTTTAAAATTGTCGAATTTTGATGTCGTTGAAGTTAAAATATAGGTATTTTATAGTCATTACAAAATTAGATTCATCCGATTGATTACAAAATGTTTTTTTTTACATGATATCACAGCAATCACAGAAATCACAAAGTGTGATTATCCTTCAAACCCTGCAGGTTTATCAGGTTATTATTAACATGTCAATTTTTTAATTAGTCAATTTTTTAATTACGACAAGACAAAATTTTAATCATTTTGTCCCGGGTATTAAAATTTTTGACATTTTGACGTCGTGTATAATTAAAGATATTTATTTTATGGTAAATTACAAAATTTAGATAGCTTCAGTTTTTATCGAAGTCACAGGGTGTGAAAATCACAGGGTGTGAAAATCACAAAGTGTGATTATCGCAGTTCAAACCCTGGAGGTTATTATTAATACGTTGCAGTCTGCCAAATTTTTAAGTCATAAAATGATAAAATTTGCATTCTTTTCTATTTTGACTCGCGTTTCAAAATTTGGCACATTAAAACGTCGTATGCAAAAAAATTAATTTATTTTACAGTAAAAATAAGATTTAGATTTAGTTTCATTGTAAAACAATTTTTTTACAGTAAGATCATAGAAATCCCAGGAATCACAGAAATCTCAAAAATCATAGAAATCTCAAAAATCACAGAAATCAAAAATTACAGGAATCTCAATTTTGAGAACTTTTTGTCTGCAAAGTTTTCTTTTAGAAAATTACATTTCCAAAAAGTGTCAAAATCGTTAAAATTTTGTATACAAAAAATCTACAAAATCCAGATTTTTGTCACTACTAAATTCTTACATGACCATTTTTAATTCGATATCAATTGCGGGTTATTAATTTTGAGGTCAAATTCGATTTCTTTTATAACGGATAACTCACGCAGTAAGTGGTAACTTTGTACAATATTGTTACAAACTAATGCAAACTTGATCTGAGAAATTTAGAAGCTAATTTTCTATAAAAATATTTCTAAAATTTTGTAATAGTCTGTAAGTTTCCAGAATTTACAATATTACGAAGGACTGCATAAATTGTCGCTATATATGTAATGTTAGTACAGATTAAAATTGATAGCCGAAAGAAAAGTAACAAAGAGTTTCCTAAAAACCAATTTTAAATGTATTTCATTATGCGTTTTCGGTTTTTAATTCCCAACTTATTAAAATCTGTGCAGTTGATTATTCGCAAATTTATTAGTAAATAAATATTGCACGCTTTCTTAGATATCGCGAACTGCAGGAAATTACAGAAATTAAAAATTGGCAAGTTTTCCGATTTTAATTACCCATTCATTAAAAACTCTGCAGTTACAAATTTACAAATTTATTCGCAAATATATATTGCACGATATCGCAAAATTTGAGAAATTGCAAAAATCCCTGAAATTTCCTTACCGATTCAGTATCGACGGAAGCAGCATCTTCATCGTCTTCCTCATTGTTGCCCTTTTTTGAGTCCCCCGACGACTTGGGCTGTAAAAAAGTGGATCTGGGGCCATGGCCGTCGGGGTTGTGGGAGTTCAGTTGCGCCGTCTGTAGGCTCATTTCCACGGTGTAAAGGACCCCAAAAATCAGGGTGAGAAACCCGACCCCCAGTCCGTACAGGGTTAATTGACGTTCTTTATAGTACGAGAGCCACCACGTCATTTGTGTGCACATTAGGTTGATGAAAAATCCCGCCGTTTTCACCATCAAGGCGGAACGACTCTCCTAAAAAGAAAGGAAACGTTACGAACAAGGGTTTTTAAAATGGTTTAGATGGGAGAAATGTGGTTGATTCCAGTTAAATGGAATTGATCGGATACGGTTACAAGGTTCTGATATGTGTACGTAACCCGCGCGGTATTTAATTAGGATTTAAATGAGATTAGGGCTATTAAGGGGTGAGGTGAGATTACGATGTGGTTTGTTCCTGATACTAATAATACGCTAAGTAAATTACATATTTTCTGTGTCATTTTGGGTTACGTGGTTGTGATTTTTTATGATTTTCGGTTCATGTGGGTGTGATTTTTCTTTTGTGATTTGGGTGTGATTTTTGTTATTTTTACGGTATGCATGGCTGTAATTTTTTGTGATTTAGTGTTCTGTGGGGTTGTGATTAATTGTGATTTCATGTTTCGTGCACCTGTTATTTATTGTGATTTTATTCTTTGCTTCGCCGTGACTTTGTGTAATTTGCTACACTTTAATGTTCTTTGTGTAAATCTGCCTTCGATTTTTCCATGAATATTAGATTATCCGATTCGTTTCGAACTTGCTAAAAAATAAAAATTAGACCACTCCCAAATTATCAGTCACCTTTGAGAACATAATTCCCAGCTCGTTGATCACACCAGACACGAAAATCCCGACCAGACAGCCACACCTCTTCGTAAACTCGTAGTCCGACGACACCACAAAATTCATTGACACGCCAAACACCAGCCCAAAAATCTATATAGTAAATTTTTAAAAAATTAATTTTAGATTTAAATTTCCCGCTCCAAAATTTAAATTTCGAACTTACCGCTTCCAGAAGCGCGAAGACGACGAGGACCTGCGGGAAGAGGGGCCGCGTGTAAATGTCCAACTCTTCAGTGCGATGATTGTCGTAATGTGTCATTAATTTTCGAAGCGTGTAAACTCCCACGATCAACGCCGTGACCAAAATTATGGGCTCCACTGAAGAGAAATTCGCCACGCCGGGCGAAAGTGAGGACGAGTATTGCATCTGAAGAAGGATGTAATTTTTTATTAAATTGGGAACTTTTGAAATTTTGTAGATTTAAAATGTTTTGTAAATAATTGTGGATTTTTTTTATCAATTTTAAAAATCGGCAGCTTCAGAAATTATGGAAATTTTGCTATTGTTCAACATTAAAAACTTTGAATGAACAATTGCGGGTTTTTATTAATTTGGAAAGTTTGTGAAATTTTGTATATTTATGAGATCTAAAATTTGATATGATAATTCCGAATTTTTATAAATCTGAGAAATTATAAAAGTTTGAAAATTTAGGATTTTTTGTTGAATTCAAAACTTTTTATAATCGTTCTATAAATTTAAGAATTCGTTAATTTCCTGTACTTAAAGTTCGAAATTTTTGATAGATTTAGAACCCTATATATGTATTTTTTGTCAAAACTTATGATGTTAATAATAATTAGATCACTCCTTCTCATTCTGATAGATACTAAGCTGATAGATTCTGATAGGTACTACTAATTTCTTACCTGGACGAGCCAGAAGGTCACCCCGGTCAGGAGTGAGGTCACGTAAAGGATCAAATTCGTGACTAGGTGGCCATCTTGGATCTAGAAAAAAAATTAGAGAATTTTTTTTATTAAAAAATTTTAAAGTGTTTTATTTATGATTTCTTTAGAAATTTTAATATTTTAAATTTTCAAACTTATTAGATTTAATCCCGGATAATATGATTTGTTTCTTCAAAATTTCATGAAATAAATAGCATTTCAAAATTTTAGAAAATATATTACTTTCTTTTTAAAAAACATTAATTTTTGTGATTTATAATTTTAGTTCAATTTATATCGAAGATTCTCCACGTTAAAAATTTTGTAAAATTCTTGGACTAACTTTTTTGTAATATTTCGCTATACAGCTTACAAATAATTTGCAAAAATAAATATATTTAAAGTATCATGTTTACGATGTCAACTGTTCATGAATGATTTTTAAACATTTTAAAACCCGGTGCTGCCTGAGGTTAACTTTTTATTTTACAAATTTTGCCAATTTTACAACTCGGTTGCAACCGAGTAAACCTGTGTAAAATAATTTTGTTGACAAGTTACAAGTTAGGACATGGTATATCTACAATATTTTAGAGAATTATGATTTTGTAATCTTTTTGGTTTTGGCTTCAAACTTGATAATATTTATTTTCTCGAAGTGTAAACATGTAAAAGTTCACATTTTATACATTTTAGTTATAAGTTTAATTTGTAAAATTGATTGTGCACAATTTGAAAATAATATAAAATTTTATTTCAGTTTTTTGAGGGATTTATAAAAATGCAAACGTTTAAATGTCGCCGATGAATTTCTGAATTTAAAACATTCTACTTTTCAACGGTTCTTGTTTAATTGTGGTCAAGTTGTAATTTTATTTATTCTATATAGGTTCGTGAGCATTTTAAATTGTGAAAGTGAAGGATTTTGATTTTAGGAAATTTTTTTAGAAACTTGAGATTAGATTTTTTTCGATAGATTTGAAACCTGATAAAATTATTGTCTTAAAGTTTGAATACGACAAAGTAAAATTATAGGTAATCTGTTACAATTGTAGTGCGGTGAGATTGGAAAATATGCATACAGAAAATATATTTCAAAAATTTGTAAATTGCTTTAAATTGAATTTGCGAAGCATGTGTTTAGTTCATAATTTTAATTTCAAAGGTTTCTCAAAGTTGGAAAATGGTTTTTATATTTTTTACATAATACCACCTGAAAAAAATTGGAGGACATTTTTTTTAATTACAAAGTTTTAAACATGTTTTATGATTTATGTTGAAATTTTGGATTCAAATTTAATGGGTTTAAATCCTGATAATATTATTTTTTTGAAATTGTTTACGAAAAGAATTACGATTTTCGAATTTGCATCAAACGAAGAAAATAAATACTAAGGAATTTCACGTAATCATTGATAACTAGTAAATTTCGTAACGTTTGTGAAATAATTTTGCAAATTTTTACAATATAAAAAGATTCCCTTGATCTGAATAAGTTTACAAATAGATATTTGGAAATTAATTAATTTTCCTAAGAAATATTTACCTCATTATTTCGAAACTTTGTAAAATATTTATTATTCTTTTCGGTTTTTGTCAATTTGCTTTTTCAAAAATGCATTTTTGTAAGTTACTAAATATAACTTTGCTTCAATTATTCTACGTATATCGAAGATTCTCTAATTTGAAAACGTAAAAAATTATTAAAAGATTATTAAAAAATATATATTTCTTGTAAATTTTACAATGCCTCCAATCCTAGCAAAATAAATTGGCATAAATAAATATATGTACCTACCCTTCAAATGTTTTCCATTTTCATGCATAAATAAGTATGTAATTTGATGACCTTTAAAATTCCGTGCTAAATACTTCAGATTAACTTTTTATTTCGTACTTTTTTCAAATTTTACAAAGTGCCAAATTACTAGGCATATTTGTAACCGAGTAAACTGTGCAAAATAATTTTACAAAGGCTGGTTGCTGATTTTTGATCTTCAATTCTTATGACGATTATGATTTTGTATTAATTTCTAGTTTTGACGCCAAACTCAATAAAATTAATTTCTAGAAATTTGCGTGTAAAACTTTAGGTAAGTTTCGACATGACGGAAATTATATGAGATTTTATTGATGTCTTTCGAGCTTTCTGTTAAACTGTTAAACTGTTAACTTTTAGTTTTTAAACTGTTAAAACTTTAAAACGTTTCTGTTAAACTGTTAAAGTCTCGTCGCTGGCAAATTTATCCAGTTTCGAGAAATTTTTACTTTAGATTTTTTGGATTTCTTGTTGTAAACCAGATTGAAAATTTCGAATTTTTTTATAGTAAGTCGTGTCGGATTCGTGATGAGGTGGATATCTCGTATCTGAAGAAAGTGAGTATTGAAATTTTTTAAACTGGAAAGTAAAGTATTTTTTTGGTTCTATTATCTATGATAATTGTGGATTTTTTGTATTTCTAATATTTGGAAATTGTTATTTATTTTTGGTATATCTGAAGTCTTAGTTTTCTTAAAGTTTGGATACAATAATTTGAAATTCTAGGTCATTAATTTTTTGGTTCTTGTTACGATTAGAAAATACGCAATTAATAAATATATCGAGGGTATTAAAAAAACTTGAATTAAACTATAATTAGTAAATATTATAATAATTTAACTTAATTTAATTTTTTAGGATGTCAAAATTTAAAGCCTGATCATGTTATTGCATTAGAGTTATTATATTGTAAAAGTAAAACGTAGATGTCCTTAATTGATTTGGGAAAATTAAAAAGTTGCAAATTTTTGCGTATCGCTATTTGTATTTCGATTTGGTCTGGAAGATTTCTGTATACAGAAAATTTCTGTCAAATTGAAAATTTTAAAAAATTGCTACACTGTTGTTTCTAAATCCTGATAAAATTACTTTCTGGAAGTTTGCACGTAAACATAGTAAATTTAAGATTCATCAATGTTCTTGGACTTCTGGGAGGGTTGAGCAGATTAATAAATATTTCAAAAATTTCAAAAATATTTTTATGCATAGGTCTTTTCGAAATTTACTTCAGTTTTGAAAGCTTTTCGTGTTTGGTGAAGATACATTCCAAATTGAAAATTGTGCAAAATTTGCTGGATTTTAAAACCAGTAAAGTTTTACTTAACAAACATAGCATGAAATTTTACTATAGATCAAGGCGCAATTGAGCAAAAAATCGAGATTTTTTAAATTGAAAACATTTTAGTTTTTTTGCAAACCTGATCTTCTTTTTTAGGACTTCTCCCAACGATTTGAATTTTACGTTAAGATTATAATTTAGAAATGTAATTTTTTTGAATTGTATGAAACTTAAAACCTGGCAAATTACGGAGTCCTTGGTAACTTTTGTCAAATCTTACAAACTTTTACAAATATTTCTGAGAAAAATAAGGCTACAAATTTATTTAACCTCTTTTAGACCATTAACCTATTTTAGACCAAATTCGTCATATGACGTATTTCAAGAGACCAAATACGTCATATCACGTATCGAAAGAAAATGCAGATTTCCCTACTTTTCTCAAATTCCCTAATTTTTATTTGGTATTTTGTGGAAAACTCGATGGTAAAAAGCTGACTTTTTTTGGATATTTTTCTTCACAAATTTTGGAATTTTCCCTATACCGACCAATGTTAAAACGTGGAGTTGTCGTGATTTTCGGCAAAAAGTCAAAACTTGGAAACTGGTTGAAATAAATAGAGTTTCTCAACGGGTTCGGGTCGTTATCGGGTTTCGGGTTTTTATCGGGTTCGGGTTCGGATTCGGATAGGGTTTTCTGTATCCGAACCTTATCGGGTTCGGATACGGATCACGCTTTCAGTATCCGATTGTTATCGGGTTCGGATTCGGATTTACCTTCGGATTATCCGAAAACCCGATTCAAAATTGAGCGATAAGATTTGAGTCCCAATAAGATTTTTAAACATTGCGAGTTGTTTAAAATAGGTTGTCATTCAATTAATGGAACGTTCATAAAATATGTAACCAAACTTTCACCATTTCTGGGTCCTCCCTCTCCATTCCATGTACACAAGACGGGATAGAAATTTTAACCTGGGAAAGATTGGCAACCTTATCTAATTCTATCTGCCTTTCTATCTTGGGTTACATATTTTATGACAGTTCAACAAATATTATGACAATAGTATATAATAATACCCATGAGTGATGGATAATAGTAGGGGAGGAAACAAAAGTTTATGCAGTAGAAGGCTGGTTTGTTTTTGGACAAAAAATAGAAGTTCTAAAATTGAAGCTCAAAGTTGTGATTTGTTATTACTAGTTCGAGCCATAGTTTGAAAACAAATTCATTAATACACAAATGAGCTTATGAAATTATTTTATGCTTATCGGGTACTTATCGGGTTTCGGGTTCGGGTTCGGATAGAGCTTATCGGGTTCGGGTTCGGATTCGGATCGTTCCCCAAACAAATCGGATTATCGGGTTCGGGTACATATCGGATTCGGGTTGAAGGTATCGGGTTCGGATTCGGGTTCGGATGAAGGATTTCGTACCCGTTGAGAAACACTAGAAATAAATATTGGTCTTTTATACTAAATCATGGAAATTTTATTGGTTGCTGCCAAATGTAGTTATGAATTTAAAATCGTACTCAAGAGAATTTTTTGTTGAGAATTATGGTCTCAATGAGGTTAACCTTGCTGAGATTTATGAAAGTTCACATGGCTACGGAGTTACGAAGGCCTCATTAATCCTTAAATTACCTTGGACAAGTACTACTAAAGAAATTTTATGTAACAATTTAGCCAACGTAAATGTGTCACTTGTAAAATTTAATGCGCTAAAATGTACCGCCGCACTTTTATTAAATAAAAAGACGGCCGAGATTTGAGCACGTTTGTATAAATTGGTCAGCTAATTTTCCTCAGAAATATTTGGAAAATTTTGGAAAAGTTTGTAAGTTTACGAATTTTAAAATGTAACCATGACTTGCGTGAATTGCCTCAATATATTTTCATGAAATGTTTTGTCTACGATTCAATTACAAACTTTGATCAAAAGTTTTCTAAAGAAAGACTCGCGTCGTTGGATTTTAAAATTATTTATTCTTGCCTCATTATAAAATTTCCATATTTAATAATTTGTTTCAAATTCAAATTCAATCTCAAAAATTCTTCAAAAAATTCCGTTTTTTTTTGCAACAAAATTCGAGTTTTTCTAAATTTATTTATCCATATCATTAAATTCATTTAAGTCCACTTACTACCCTATAGTTTAACAAATCTAACTAATAATATAGCTTATCAATATTTTTTGAACACTTATTTTTGGCGTAGAAATGAGTCAAGGTAATTGTCTCAATTTAAGTTTTTTGTAAGCATTATTTTTGAAAGATTTGGATTTTAGGTTTAAATTCTAATTATGATTTTTTTAGAAATTTAAAACCTGATAATACAAGTTTAAGCATATAAAACTTAAAAATTTTAGATTCGCCATAGAATAAGCTTATTTCGAGAGTTTTTGTTTTGTGCATAAAAATTGTTTCATCTCAATTTCGCCTATGTAGGAAAATTTCCTTTAAATTGGGAATTTTATAAATTTTGTTGAATTTTGGTAAATTGTTGGTTTTTGGTAAATTTTAAAACCAGTTCATTTTTACAAATTTTTAATAGCTCAGTTAAAAATATGACAGATTCAAAATATAAAAAGTGCACCCACCTCGACATGGCCCGTGTAAATGGTTTTCTGAAAGTAGAACGAAGCTAAAAGGCAAACGATCATGACGAGTCGTCCGAACACAGGAAGTCCCTGAAAAATTGGGAATAATAAATATTTTCAAAATTTTGACACTTTTAGGAAATAAATTTTAAATTACATTTCGTGCCGCGTCCAAATCCAGAAAATTCCAGGTTAGCAATCCCGTCAGTCCGAGCGCAATAACCTGCGAGGAAAATTACAAAGTTATTGACAGAAATTTCAGGAGTAGAAAAAATTCACAATTCACGCAGTCCTTGCTAACATTTTAAAACTCGTAAATTTCGAAAAGTTGCAGACTTTTAAAAATATTTCTGATGAAAATTAGCTCCAAAATTTCTGTAAACTTACGCAGACCAAGCACGTTTCTTAAAATTTTATAAAACTTTGTAAAATTATTTTACTCAAAACACGGATTTTACAAAGTTACCAAGGGATGCGTAAATCGCCTCTTATAAAGTTTTGAGTTCCTAAAGTATGAATTTCCAGGACTGTTACGTACAGCCTAAAAAAACCGAGATCTATAAGGAGAAGGAAACAGTCTTACGAAAATGCAGGTTTTGGGAATAAATACTTTTTCTCATCCTCAAAATGCATTGAGGCAATTTACGTCTTTCGTAACCACGCCAACTTGCGAAACCTACGAACTTTTGACGAAACTTAGGAACATCTCGAAGGTAATTTTAGCTCACGAACTTACAAAACCGTATGAAGATGAAAGCCATGTTTTTCGTTGGCAAGCTGATCTTCGGAAGTTTGCGTGGTTACGGACGTACAATGCAAAGGTTGACATAAATTGCCTCATTGTTGTCGCCAATTTTTAAAAATCAACTATTTTGACATCGATAAAAAGCTAATTTCTTCAGAAACTCTGTAATTTCGTAGGAATGTTGTCTTCTCCGTCGACTTTTTGTATAACTTAAAAATAGCCCTCGAAATCCAACCCCTTGGAAGAACGGAGCTAAAAATACTATATTTTGACAAACTATGCATAAGGGGTCACGAAGGATGTCATCGCTATCAATTTTGACCACCATCTCGAGACCCAGTTAATGCTTAGAATGTGTCCTTCAAGGTTCCGGACACGATGATTTTGTATTTTTTATCATTTTTTGTATCATAATTTTATGGAATTTGGAATAGAAAAGCTTAATTCTGACGTAATTTTCTTCTTGCTGAAAGAACGCTGTGCGAATTTTTCACTCAAAATTTCTTTTACGATTTGTCAAGCTTCCAAGTTTCATAAACCTAAATTTATTTCAAATTCCGAATTTTTTGTTACAAATTTCATTTTCTTTTGTTACAAAAATTGGGGTGAACCACTTTTTAAATTTATACATTTCACCCCCTGCAAATACAAACCCTTAATTAGCCAATTTTCAACCGAAATTTATAAAAATATCAAAATCGGCGCTAATATCTTCCCATAAAAAGGAAGGTACATACCTTAAATTTTGGTTAATAGTTGGTTAATTGTGGTATTTGCAGGGTATGAACAGTATGAAGTGTACAAGCAGAATTAATACATACAAAATTCGTACATACAAAATTAGAAAATACAAAATTTAAGGTATATAGATTCGTGTACCTTCGTTTTTTTGGGAAGATATTAACGCCGATTTTGTTATTTGTATAAATTTCATTGATATTTAGTTAATTGAGGTTTTTAATTTGCAGGTTGTGACGTGTACAAACTTAAAAATTGGTTCACCCACCCCAATTTTTAGAACAAAAGAAAAAGAAATTTGTGAAAAAAAATAAATTTGGGTATTTGAAACTTGTAAGTTTGACATATCGTAATAGAATTGGCGTTGATATCTTTCAAAAAAATCCAAGCTACCTTTATACCTTCGTTTTTTTGGGAAGATATTAACGCCGATTTTATTATTTGTATAAATTTTGGTGAATACATTGATAATTCAGGTACCTCATGTTTGTAGTACAATAATGTGTTTTAATGTTTTAATGTTTTACGAACTTTAAATAGTGGTTCACCACAATTTTGGTAAAAAAACGAAATTTGTAATAAAAAATTAAAATACGAAATTCGAAATAAATTTGGTACTTGATTTTCCTCCTTAATCTTTCTAAATGTTTTTTTATTACGTTACAAGCGTCTGAAGTTACAAGGTTTACAAAGCATAAATTTTTATCGCTCAATTAAATTTTTTGAAAATATATAATTCTCTTAAGATTCCTTTACGTGTAATTTATTTATAATAAATTTACGATCTGATTTTCCTGGGTAATCTTTGCAAATGTGTTTTGCCAAAAAACAAAAAACAAAAAACACGCAAAGTTACGAGGCTTACAAATCACAAATTTGTTTTAGCCAATAAAAATTTTAGTAGATTAAAAATTTGTTTTTTCAAGGTTTACTTAAAAAATAAAGTTCTGCTCAGATTTTCCTTCATAATCTTTGCAAATATGTTTTGTAACGTTAAAAAAACATCCAAAGTTACGAGGTTTACAAATTTGTTTAAGCCAGTAAAAATTTTGTAAATTTGAAAAAAAAAATTTCAAGGTTTTCCCAAAAAATAAATTTCTGTCCTGATTTTCCTTCGTAATATTTGCAAGTTTTTTTTACCCCGTTACAAAGTTATGAAGTTTACAAATCTTTCCGTAACCTCAAAAAACTTACGGCTTGGACTGTGACCGCGATTCCGAAGGGAACCTGAATCCCCGGCCTTCTCCTCGCCGAGCTTCCCCCGTAGCACAATTTAAATCCCCCGGCGTCATCGTCGTCGTCCGAATCGGCGGCGCGGCGTTCCACCACCGTGAAGACTTCCATGATAAGCAATACACTTATCTACTCTCTACATCCGGTCGGTAAGATAAGTTCTTATCATCTTAACAAGTCAATATCTTTGGTATAAACTTTCTCCAAAATTTTAGCCGTACTGATAACCCATTTTGTCTAAAAATGCAGTCTTCTTTGTAACAGGAAGTGAGAAACTGTCCTCAAATTTATTTTTAGATAAGGGCTTATCGGTGAATAAAATATGACGAACTTTTTTCGAACTTTTTCCACAATTGTATTTAACAATTTTGATGTATTTTTACTTTGATAAGTTCTTATCCATAGATTTCAATTTTACAAACTTTCTCCTCCTCCACAATTTTTAGTAATCTTGCCCAATTTTATTTTAGATAAGGTGCTTATCAGGACAAAAATTGTCGAATTTTATCCCCAATTTGTTATCAATCTTGCTATATTTTATTAAGATAAGTTCTTATCAGGATAAGAGAAATATTACAATTTTACAAACTTTCTCCACCTCCACCTCCACAATTTTTACTTATCCTCCTCTATCTTATTAAGATAAGTGCTTATCACTCAAACTATTTATAACCTTTATAAATTTTTTTTGACCACCCAAAACCTGGAGGCGGAAGTGTCTATTTTACTCCAACTTTCACCGCACCGATCAAAGTGAAAGTGCGGAATGGTATGTTTTTTTACAGCCGTTCGGTCAGGTAGGACACGAACGAGGAGAAAGTTAAATGTCAAGGGAAATTAGTTTTAGGAGTGAAAGTTGGCAGGAGAAAGATAGTCGGATCTCTGGCCGGGCTTCCTGGTTGGTTGGTTGGTTAGTGAAGACTGAGGGAGTAAAATACCCGGGTATCGGATCCTGCCTGGTCCAGTCTGTCGGAGGGAAAGCTACTTATTTTCTTATTTCATCTTCTGCCTTGGTGGAAAATATGATGGTTGTGATGCTGCGCCTCGTCTGGCCGGGATCTCGGGGAGGGGGCTGTGCGGGGTGGATTTGGCTGTATTTGTTACCAGGGTTCGGTAATAAAATTGTTTTTATTGGTAACGGAGTTAGAGTGATTTAAAGGGTTGTGGAAGAGGGATAGTTGTGCATTTCATTTTGTTACCGGGGGCATTAATAAAATTGTTTTTACCGAAAAAGTGGTAATAACGGCTTGAGACCGAAGGAAAATATGTGGGTTTTAGTTTATTGGTTATCAGGGTCGGTAACAAAATTTTCTTAAACCCGAAAAGTTGGCCATCGAATTAATTAAACGGGATAGGCGTGAAATTTATTTTATTACCAGGTTCGATAACAATCGTTTTACCGAGAAGTTGACCAAATTAATTAATTGATGTTGATCAATTTTAACGCCAGTTTAAAAACAAACATTTGGACCTTTACTTCTTTAATTTTTTAGATGCTTTACACGTGTGTGTTTTGTTTTTCAAATTTGTTACCGAATGCAAGCATAGTAGTACCGTGTTGGTCATGTTTTGTTTTACCAAGCAGCAGTGTAATAATTGTGGACGAAATATCCAATTCATTTCATTCTCCGATTGATATATTGAATCCGTTTGGAACAATTGTCCAGTAAAAAAATCGTTACCAACTTGTTATTAATTCGGTAACGAGTTTATTACAATATTTAGTTTCTACTATTTGATAGTATTCATTCTGATGTTTATACATATTCTTTTTTTTACCCCCTCCAAATTATCTTTGAATCAGGTTCAAATAAATGAATGACTTGTAAAAAGTATTTATGATGTTATAATTAGTCAAGACATATTTCTTGATTGACTTTAAGCCCAAAAGAACGGACATGGATTTAATTTTACTACCACAACCGGTAAAGATTTGTTACCAAATAATGGATATATAATTTCCAATAATCTTTATATATGTCTGATGAAGTTGACAGTGAGTCATTGAAAGCCTGTAATATTTCAGTATTGTACTAAATTATTAGCTCACCCTGCGTAGCACGAGAGCTATTGAATTCCTCTTGTCCGCCTGTCTGTCTGTCTGTCTGTCCGTCCGTGTGTTCACGAGTTTTTTGCATCAATTGATGCTAATTATAAATCCCCTTGTCCATTATTGAATCAATTAGTTGCACCATTGGTATCGAACAATCCATGAGGCAATTGGTGCGAATCAATTCAGAAAATCGATAGTGAAAAGACTACAAGTATGGAATAACTAGCACCTATGGGGTCGAATAATCGGTTAAAGAAAATGATGCGAAATAATTGGGATCATCTATGCAAAACGCACCAAAAGTACAGAATAACGGGAAAAAATAATTACACAATTTTGATCAATCAGTATGCAAATGGTGCGACTCAGTTCGGACAATTGATCGACGGAGGACTACAATTTTTAAATAAGTCGCACCGTTAGTATCGAACAATCGGTTGTCCAAAATGATACGAAACAATTGGGAGAATCGATGCAAAATGCACCAACAGTGCAGAATAACTGGAAGAAACAATTACAAAAATTTGACGTCCCGAATTAATTCGTTCGTGCCAAAGGTCCAAATTTCGTAAAAAGTAAATATGTCTTTTCTCGCGTTATCCTACACTATTGGTGCAAAATTATATGATTACCATAAAAATCTAATTTCCGTGATTGCTCTGCACCAATGGTGCAAAATTGTATAACACATGCACTTATTTTGTCGGCTAATTCTGCACCTTTGGTGCAAAATTATAGCAAATCATTATTGCAGGGTGAGCTACTTCTAACGTTACTACGGTTTATTTGTATAATATAATTCGGAATGAAATTCAAATTTAAGTGTAATTTATCAAAAGAAAATGTTCACTGCAAATTTTGTCTTGTGGATATTTATTTTTTGTAAACAAAATCGTTACGATCTTGGCAGTGAGTGATGTATGTAACATTTTCTTACCACGTTGCTATTACAATTGCAAAATATAGTTGATACAAACTGAAGACCAGGTAAGGCAAGGCATCTATCTACATTAATCATGTAAATACATTAAACATCTAATTATTCGCAAAGTGGCGTTAAAATGAGCAAAATGAATTAAAATTAATCAAAATAAACCGTAGTAACGTTAGAAGTAGCTCACCCTGTTATAATGATTTGGATATAATTTTGCACCAAAGGTGCTGAATAAGCCTACTACAGATGCATGAGTTTCAAACAATTTTGCACCATTGGTGCTGTTGAAATGTGGAAAATTAAGACACAATTTTGACATGATTTAGACTTTTTTTGGACCCTAGGAAGGGCCAATATTTCTTCCGGTTATTCTGCACTTTTGGTTCATATTGAATCAATTCTTTCAATTGTTTGGCACCATTTTGCGTTATCGCTTGTTTGGAACCAATGGTGCTACCAATGTCCTAAAAAAATGGACATGGTCTTATCTAATTTGCATCGATTGATGCAAAAAAACTCATTAACAGACAGACGGACAGACAGACAGACAGACAGACAGACGGACAAGAGGAATTCAATAGCTCTCATGCTACGCAGGGTGAGCTAATAAAATACAAATTGTTACCTTAAATTATTATTAATGACTCTTCCGATGCGGTAATATTGTATAGTCACAATTTTTAGTAACACTTCTGAATTTACTACAAAATTCAAATATCTACGATTAAAAATTTTCAAAAAAATACAATACTCATCAATCACGTGGGTATTAATTTTTTACAAGTTTTTCACATTTCTTGCATTTTTTACAGTTCTTACCCTGTAAGAAATATGCTCCACCTAGATTGTACTTATTTCTTGCATTTTGTTCACTCATGCCTGCAAAAAAACGATGAGGCAGTAAGTCACCCAGTCATTGATAACTTTATAAAATGCAGTGCATTAAAATAAAGAGACGCCCTTGATCTGAGTAAAGTTAAAAAAATTTGGATGTCAATTTTACATCGAAATATTTTTAAAAATTTGGAATTTACGGATTTTTTAAAATAGGAAGATAATAACGCCGATTTTATTATTTGTGTAAATTTTAGCATATACACGGTTAATGAAGGTCATTGTGGTCAGCTTTAGAGTGTATTAATGCTTTACAAGCTTTTAAAAAAAGTGGTTCAACGCTTACAAAAAGTGTTACTAAGCTCAATTTCCTCAGAAATATTTGTAAAGTTTACAACTCTACAGAATCTACGGGTTGAATTGCCTCAATTTCTTGCAGGTTGGTTTTATTTTTTTTACGACAGATGCTTCGGTGACTTCCTCCCTGCCCGGCCCCGCGTGCATGTAGCTGGTTAGCTGCTGCTGGTGTGGTGTTGTTGATGTATGTACTGGTATAGGGGCCGAGGTGGCTGGCTGGTTAGTGAGGCTGGTGGAGGAGAAAGTTGGGAGAAAGCCACCCAGCCAAAATATCCGACCGACAAGACATGAATATTATCCTCCAGCCAACACCGTCCGTCCATCCGTCCTTTCTCCTCTCTACTCCCACCGGTTTAGTCCGCCGTGCCATGATCAGATCACCGTCTGCTTTGCATGACAGGGTTTCCTTCCACTAATGCATGCAGGTCAGGGAGTCATTCCAATGACTAAATGTGAGCCGATCGACTGGGCAAAATTTAAGCAGTTTGAAATAATTTGAGACGTTTTACATAATTTTCTTAAACTAAAATGGTAGGAATTTACGCAGATTTTGGTAGCGTAACTTTGTAAAGTGGCCATTTCACACTATTTAGTTTTCAGATTTATTTCGTAAAATTCAGCAGTGTAAAATAATTTGAGACGCTTTACATATTTATAAAAGTTTGTTTCAGAAATTTAGAGGCAGAAATTTACGCACATTTCGGAAATAAAACTTTGTAAACTGTGTAAATATAGGATTTACTAGTCCAGGATCACCGTCTGCTTTGCATGACAGGGTTTCCTTCTGCTAATGCATGCAGGTCAGGGAGTCATTCCAATGCGGACTAAATGTGAGAAGATCGACTAAGCAAAATTCGGCAATGTAAAATAATTTGAGATATTTTACATAAGTTAATTTTTACAACTTAAATGTGTCGAATTTACGCAGATTTTGGTAATGTACACATTGTAAAGTGTGTAAATTTTGAAGTTATTAGAGTTTCCTTCCAGAATTATATGCAGGTTAGGTCGTTATTGCACACTATTTAATTTGCAGATCAACTTCGCAAAACTTATGCAATGTAAAATAATTTGAGACGTTTTACAAGTTTTCTTAGACTAAAATTGTAGGAATTTACGCAGGTTTTTTGGGAATGTAACTTTGTAAAGTGGTCATTTCACAATACGTAGTTTGCAAATCAATAGTTTGTAGATCGACTTCGTAAAATTCAGAAGTGTAAAATATTCTGTAATTTGAGACATGTTACGCAGGTTTTTTAACTAACTAGATTATTCATAGAAATTGAGAGGTAGAAATTTAAGCAGATTTTGGTGATGTATGTAACTTTGCAAAGTGTGTAAATTATGATTAAATCTAACTTCACCTTGTCAAGCTTGTAAAACTAACAAATTCCAAAAAATCTAATATTGGTTTAAAAATCCAACAACTCTTATCAAATTTTGAATTTGAAAGATTCTTATATACGTTTTTTTAAGTGAGTGTTATTGGAAATTTATAATCAGAAATTTACGTAGATTTTGGTAATGTATGTAACTTTCTAAAGTGTGTAAATTAAATTCCAGTCTAATGTCACCTGTCAAGCTTGTAGTAATTAACAACTTCCAAAAAATCTAATATTGGTTTAAAAATCCAACAACTCTTATAAAATTTTGAATTTGAAAGATTCCTAAAGTGTTTTTAAAGAGGTTGTTATTAAAAATTTAGAGGCAGATACTTATACAGATTTAAGGAATGTAATTTTGTAAAGTGTGCAAATTTGAGAATTTATCAGTCCAGG